TTTCTCATGATCCCCTACTGTTTTTAAGAGACCTCTCTTTATAGTGTCACTGACTGCAATCTTATCTTCTATATCTGAGAGCCTATCTTCGCATTCTTTTATTTTGTTGCGTACACTTTCAATAGAGTGTTTAATCCCCTGGATATCTGTTTGAATCTGTTTTATGGATTCCATTTTTTTCCTCTGTTGGGCGTTTGTTATATTTCTTTCTTATGCTGGGCCTTCATGACTTCTATCATGGTCCTGAGCGCATCTATTTTTCTGTCAGTTTCTGCTCTAGAGTCTTGAATCATGACTTCCATTTTGCTAACTATCTCTATGGTTATCTGGGAAATTATTTCTGTTTTGAATTTTTCTAGAGCCTGATTGATCTGTTTTGTTACTTCCTGTGCTTTGAGTTCAGGGTGTCCTGGTTTTTTTTACATATCAGAGAAAACAGCTCAGCAAATCAACGGCAATGCTTTACCCCAACTGATACAATCAGCAACACAATAAGATCAAGCACAACTTGGACACTGACCACCTGTGGTAGTCACTAGTCTATCACCCTTAAATCATTTGAATTAAATTGAAATCAAGAAACAGTCCAGAACATGTCTGCAGTGAACAAACTTTTCAATATAGTATAAGAGAAAACAGCTCAGCAAATCAACGGCAATGCTTTACCCCAACTGATACAATCAGCAACACAATAAGATCAAGCACAACTTGGACACTGACCACCTGTGGTAGTCACTAGTCTATCACCCTTAAATCATTTGAATTAAATTGAAATCAAGAAACAGTCCAGAACATGTCTGCAGTGAACAAACTTTTCAATATAGTATATTAACCATTTAATGGCTCAGACAGAGTGAGGATGCAAGACCCCTGATCTCATTTAGCTGATTGCTGAACCCCATGACTCTGACTGACCTCAGGCCACAATGCCCAGATTGAGTTCCCCATCCTTCTGAATGGGTTGAACTCCGCAACGTTCTATTACAGGTTTCCCTGCCCTTTCTTTAAAGATGTTCTGAGTTGGGAACTCAGAAAAATACCCTTGATGACCACCTCTGTCTTTGCAGAGTGGGTCCAAAGACTTGCACAGTTAGAAGGTCTGAGAGTGCAGAGGTGGGGGGCTTATGGGGGTTCAGGGGCGCCCGCGTGGCTACCTGCTACCTTCCCGGCGCTTGAGCAATGGCTCCTGGGTCGGGAGCAGGCGTGGTTCTCCTTCCCGCGGTGGGTCAGAGCCCCGGGGACTTGTTTAAATGGCATCAAATTTCAATTTTGCAAAATGCAGAGTTTTAGAAATAGGTTACACAGATGTGAATGAACTGACACTAGTGAACTGTTGTTATGGTTTGTGTCTAGACATCCCCCCAAGGCTCATGTGGTCATAGGTGGGGCTTGCTCAGAGGTGGCTGGAACTAGACTATGTGACTGACTTATGATGCGATACTAGGATTAAGGGTGCTGAGGTTAAGGGTATGTGATTAATAATCAGTTCACTGATTGGTTTGGTACCTGCCCTAATCCCAGCAGCCTAGATAATGATACCGGAAATAATACCAGAGATGAAATATGATATATTATATCTCCCAACCTGTTAGATATCTGATATGAACATGATAAGCTCATGTTCTTTAAAATTCAAAGAATGAATTGTAGGAACAATAGAGGTTAAGAGTAGGAAGATATTTATTGAGAGGAAAGCTCCTGAGAGGCAGGAGGGGACCCGAATGGGTAACCTGGGGACCCCACTCCACAGGGGAGTTTTATGGAGTAAAACCCACATGGGGCATAATGTGGGCCACAGCCATGATGGACCGATAAGGTTACAAGTATAGTCACGTAGGTAATAGTGGTCCAGTTGGGAAACAAGTCACATAAGAAGTGTGGATGGAAAGAACAAAGACTTCTTCTAGGAAATTGTCCAGGGGTCTCTGGTCACCCACTGGGGCACCTGATGTCTATGTAGACTTCATCAGGTCTGAATATATAGGTCTGAAGTCTGCATCTCTGACAGATGTGTCTCCAGCTGCAGTTGTGACTCTCTCGAGGACCTAGCCCTATCTGACTATCTGTAATACTTCTACCTCATTCAGCTGCCCATAATGTAGGATATAAAACCAACAGAAAGGAGCCGCTAAGGTCCCTCGCTTGGTTGCTTTGCTACCTTCTGTCTGCCATGAGCTGTTTCTCCTCTGCGATGCCCTTCTGCCATGACACCCTGCCTTGGAGCCAGCCAGTTATGAACTGAAACCTCTACAGACTGTAAGCCAAATAAACCTTTCCTCCCTTAACTTGTGGGTGTTGGGTATGTCTCAGCAATGAGAAAAGTAACTAAGACAACTATACATTTAAAAATATGTGCAATGGTAGATTTTGTGTTATATGTATTTTACTGCAGTTTTGTTTTAATTGCAGATTCAAAGCTAGGTATGGTGGTGTACAACTATAATCCCAGCACTCAAGAGGTTGAGGCAGGAGAATCCAATTTGACATCAACCTGGGCCACACAGTGAGTTCTAAACCAGTTTAGACTACCTAGCAAGATTCTTACTTTTAAATAATTGCAGATTCAGCAGGTCTAGGGCAGGGCTTCAGAATCTTTGTTTCCCAAGTGATGCCCATTCTGTTGTTGAAATAGCAAGGGCTCAAAGCACACCAGGATGACCTAGGGACTTTGATTCAGTGAAGATTCTCCATTCCCTTGGAGATCCTGATCCTAAGCTATGTTTGTGTGAGGTGAACCTCAGAACTGGGTTCTCTGAACTCTTCAAAAATAGAGTTCTCTGTGGGCTTCACTTCCAAAGATGAAGTAGGGAGACTGATCATTTGAAGATGATCAATCTTCTTGCATTTCATTTCTTATTCACAGTCCAAAGTTTCTGCATGCATTGCAGCTCTGTAGAGTACAGTGGCCCAGTTCACAGAGAATGCCAAAGATCCTCAATGGGAAGAAGGTGTGGACTCCAAAATTTAAACCGCCAGTGCCCAAAGGCAGGCTGTGGTTCATGCTTGTCCTGAAACCCTTGGAACACTACATCATTGTCAAGCAGGTCAGGGCTCTACAGAGGGGCACACTTGTTTCTTCCCATGGTCCCTGTGCTGTGACCACCCCATCCCTCACCCCATCTCTGGCTCAGAGCAATAACCAACCAAGATATACTAGACTTTAGTCCTCTCCTCTGAGAGATTTACTGTTCTTATCACCCTTTCATGGGTGAGAAAAGAGAGGTACTGCTGAGTTTCCCAGGCTCTTTGCATTGTAGAGACTATGTTCCCATGAGCCAGAAATCTGGGCCAATGGTGGATTCCAGTCCAGAAGCAGATTTGTGCTGCAGCTGTGGCCTAGATGCTGGAAAGAGCCTTCCATTTAAAGCACCCCTCTCTAGCACTTGCTTTCCCCAGAAAGTAGCTCTGCAGAGGGATTTGCACTTAGGATAATTTGTACTAGGTGTTTTAGGAGGTTTAACAATCCTAGGTAATGTAATCTTGAGAAGAACAATTTTTTAACCAAAATGAGTCCATCGTTGTTATAAAGTATAAGAGAAACTCATGGCAGTGTGTTGGGGAGGGATGTGGAGAGACTTTCCTTTTAGACAAGATCTTTGAAACTAAAAGGGACTATAGAGACTATCTGCCTCATTTTCCTTTGTTTCCAGGTGAGTTTCCTTAAAGCAAATTGAAGTATGAACATGGTTTAATATAAATTCTCATATCTCAGCTTGCAGATTTCTTTATCACATATCTCTGCCGTTACCCTTTACTAAATAAGAATTCAATGCAGCATTATTAGAATACAGGTTTGTTTATTCATTTTGTATACATTAAAAAGATTCTAGCCAGGGATTTAACTCAGTGGTTCCACCACCTGCCTCGCAAGTGCAAAGCCCTGAGTTTGATCCCTAGTACCAAAAATAAATAAATAAATAAAAAATATAAAAAAGAATGAGGAGCAGGGGGAGGAGGAAGAGGAGGAGGAGAAGAAGATTTTGTACTCAAATGTCTGGACCCCTAATACTGAGAGTGTGCTGGGGGTATATAGTTGTCTGGGTTGGTGAGGTATCTCTGTAAAGGGAGTAATAAAATACCTGAGGAATTTAACTGAGACTTGGAGGATTGCAGTTATAAGAGTTTACTAGGCCAACAAGCAGGATCAAAAGCCTCACAGATGAAGGGCCAAGGACAGATAGAGTACTTGAAAGCCCACAGCATGGGGCTTTTCCAAGGAACTTAGGGCTACATGAAGAAGGAACAGGATGGAGGTAGGGTCAGTGTGAACCTCCCAGAGAGGCTTTAGGAGAAATGCAGGTGTAGTCTAGAGAAGTACTGAAGAGGGGAACAAGCTTGCTAATCCATAGGGTCCTCTGACAGTTGGATAGCACCAGGCTTGGGGCTTGGAGGCCAAAAGGGAGAGGAGGGTGTAGAGGAACAGGAAGATTCAGGGACGCTGACTTTGGCTCTCATACTTGTCACTGTGCATTTTGTAGATCATCTCCAGCCTGGGGTTTTAGATCCAACAGCCATGCCAAAAAAATACCATAGGAATATGTAAGCAGACAACTGCCAGAATAATAATGCCTTAGCACTAAGCATTATACGTAATTTATTTATTTGCTTGCTCACTTCATGCTACTGAGGATCAAACACAGGGCCTTGCACATGCTAGACAAGTGCTCCTCTACTGAGCTACACTCCAGTCCTATCATTTATTTTGTATTTATTTATTTTTTCCAGTACTGAGTATCAAACACAGGACCTTGAGCTTGCCAGGCAGGCATGGCGCCACTGAGCTACATCCCTGACCCACCTACAGTTTAGTTTTTAAAGTGAAGTGTGAAGCAATTAAAGGGCTTTTTCCCCCCTCCTCCCTGCTAGATGACTGCCTACTCTTCCTGCAAGGGCTGATAAGAACAATCTGGGGTTAATTCCATGCTCAGTACAAGCCACACCCTTGCCCAGCGCTGTGCTCACCCACGTGGGGCCTGGACTCACTGCACTGCCCCCTTGGCTTCCTCCCAGTGCTGCCAAGGATGCTGTCTCAGCAGTGCTGGGCAGACTTTTCAGGCTTCCGGGTAGTCTCCCCACGACCATGAGGTCAGGACGGCCTCATTCCTGTTTAGCCGAACATGAGACAGCAGAGCGAAGTTTTTCAACGTGCTTTTAACTATTGAGGTGTAAAGGTAGGAACCTCTCTCTCGTTCAAACCATCCCACAACACACACACACACACACACACACACACACACACACACACTTCATACTACAACAGCAGTTGCACAACTCTTAGGAGTCTAACTGATTTGCCCTCAGAAGGTTACTTAACAATATTCTGATCATTCGATCATCAGAACTCACTCTAACCAAGCCTCCTCCAGGAAACTGAGACAAATATCTATAAAAGGAGGAATAAAGCATTGAGGATTGTGGCACTTGATATTTATATTGTTATTAAGCTGGACCTTATATCCTAGGCTTATGTCTTAGGAATTTGAGGATTGTGGCACTTGATATTTATATTGTTATTAAGCTGGACCTTATATCCTAGGCTTATGGATAGACACAGAAGTTCAAAGAGATCAGAGAGAAACAGATGTTGGGGATGACAGATTTGTTCCACCTAAAACAACTTCCTCTCTGGCCAGATTCAAGTTACTTAACCCATGAAAACCTCACTACAAAGTTGAGTCTGAGGTCTTTCCCAGCAGATACTCTGTGATTATTTTTAAAATTTAATTAAATAATTAGTTTTAAATTTTGAGACAGGGTCTTGCTCTGTAGTTCAGGCTGGCTTCAAACACTGCCTATCTCAGGCTGGTCTTGTACTCACAGTGATCCTCCTGCTTCAGCCTCCAGACTACAGAGATCACAGATGTGCCCCACACCCATGCTCAGGTTCCCTTGGGGATTCTATAGGGAGCAAAGGTCATCATTGGCCATCTAGGAACTTTTACTTCATCTTTTGTGCATGTGTTCATGTGATTCTAGAAATTGCATCCAGGGCCTTGTGTTTGCAGGGCAAGTGCTCTATCCCTGAAGTATATCTCCAGCCAAAGTTTTTCTTCTTTTCTGTTGTTCCAAATGCTGTCAGATTTTCAGATTTTAGTCAACAACTTGAGTGTTGTTCTTTTTTTTTTTTTATAAGCACAGTAAGTACATTCACCATGGCAGAAAGATAAGACAGATGAAATACGGTCAATTGAATGTCAGTTCATATACCTCCCAGAGGCAGTTCTTATTTGAAAACTACACAAGTAAGATGTTTAGCAGAGTGAGTATGTAGCTCACGCAAATTTCTGAACTGTGGCTCTGACCTGGAATTGTTGCTAAGTAACCACTTTGAAATGGACACCTAGCAACTATTAACTACTATCTTCCTTTTCTGCTCTTTCTATAAACAGCAATTCCTAAGTCCAGTGTAACATCAAAATTTTGGGGAGGAGGGCAGGATGAGACAGAGAAAGAGAGGGAGAGAGGAAGAGAGACATTCGGACCTATTTATGGAAATTATTTAAATGAAAACAAACTGCTATTCATAAGTGACTCTTTTCTTAATATTTTTAATTGTTTCAGACCCAAAACTTACACTCATGTCAAAGCAACGTCTGTTGCTTTACATTTATACAAGTTATACTTCTTTGCATTTTCCCCAAAATTCAGTAAATGTGTAATTTTGATATAAAGGAAACAAAAACTAAATTTATATTGTTGTCTGACTCATTTTAAAAACTCTTGTGAAAATGCTAAGATATTACAAATGTAACAGTTAAACTTAATAGTTAATTTGTTTAGCTTGGCAGCTGCCTAGGGTTAGTAAAGCACACTTCTGGCTATGACTGGGTTGGTCCTGGAGGCATGGTCTTGGGGTTGATATCTGGTTCCTGGCCCCTTCCTCTCTCTTTTATTAAAATTAATTTTATCAGTACATTTTAGATATACATAATGATAAAATTCATCATATGGAATTTGTACCTGTACGTGATATTTCTTGAGTCTTCTTTTTTTCCCCCATTTCCTCCCCTCCTTTCAATCCCTCTTCCTCTCTTTACTTAAAAAAGTTTTGTTTCCATTTTTTCTTCTATTCTCATCTTTCTTTTTCCCTTTTTTCCTTTCCCTCTCTCCTCTTCTAGTACCTCTTCCCCTTTAAACATTGTCTTCCTATTTCACAGTAACTATTACACATTTTGGTCCTTATTTACACTTTTGGTTTCTCACAGCAGAGA